GCGGGGCTGGGCTCCCCGGGCTAAGTGGGGTGCACAGAGCGGAGAGGCAGGGTGGGAGAGAAGAAAAGGGGATTGGGGAGGGGATGGGGGAAGAAACTTGATTTCTTTAATAACCTCAATTAAAAGAGCAAGACATGTTTTTTTTTTTTAAAGGGGGCTTTTTGAATTGGATAGCCCGAAAGGTGAAGAGGTTTAATAGGACACTTGAAGGCTAATTACAGCGGGATTTAAGAAGCCTGGTGCTTGTTCCGATGACAATTTGAATGAAAATGCTTCAGATTCGACCGAGCCAGCAGCTCTTTCGTAAACTTGCAGCAATTAGAGCTGCGAGTGATTTACACTCGTTTCTTTCAGGTGTAAATTGCCACTTATTGCTCAGTAAGTCAACATTTGAGCTACTAAAGGATTATTTTTAACCAGCGCAGAAAGCGTATCGAATAATGGAAAATATCCAGCTGAATTTAATTTGTGCCATTAAAAAAAAAAAAAACTCACCCAACCTCGGTCAACACGTTTTAAAGTAACAACGCTCATGACGCAAATGTTTCCGAGCGTTTGCTAGAGTTTTGTTCTTGAACGAAAACGCAGCCTTAAAGGGCGTTTTCTGCCGGCTTTTTCGAAAACTCGAGCGTGCTGCCGGGTGGGGTGGCTGAGTGGAGTGCGAGGTCCAGCGGCCCGCAGCTCCGCATGTCGGACTCTTCGCCTCCCTGCCGCTCGCCCTCTGCCAGCACCGGGCGGGGTGCTGCCGCCCTGGGCACCCCGGCCCTGCGCTCCCCACACGGGACCCGCGCGGCCGCGTCCTCGCAGACACAAAGGGAGCTGGAGCAGAAAAGCCCCGTGTTCGCTGGTGTCCCCGCCCGCGTCGCGCAGCAAAAAGAAGTCGGGCGCTCCAACCGGCTCCAGTTGGTTTTCAAATTTGAAGTGGGAGACACCCCAGGGTCCCGCCTCCAGGGCGAGGTGAGAGCTTGTCGGTTCCCCTCATTTCCTAGACCAACTGTGCCACCGACTCGCGTACTCGGGGGTTTGCTTCTTTGGGAATTTTAAGCAAAACAGCACTCCCGGGCGCCCTGGGGTCCCCGAGGCCTTCCGGGAGCCGCGTCTCTGTCTGTTTTCGCGGTGGGCCCGCCGGCGCGGATGGGCCCGCGAGCGTCCGCCGGCGGCGGGGCGCCGCTGTTGGGTCCACCCCCCCCCCCCCCACAGACTTGGGGACCCCCCGATTCTCTCTCCCCGACCGCCACGATCACCTCGGCAAACAGAACAAAAACACGACTCACATCTGTACCCGAGAGCGCCCTAGGCTCGAGGCTTCCTCTCCCAAATTACAGTCTCCAAGTCCATGCTTCAGGTTAAGTGAGCTTGCGGGGAGGGGAGGCAATGATTACTGACTAACGCTACTACGTAACCAAAAAAAAAAAAAATTGTCAGGTCTGAAGATGAGGCCGTCACAGGTAATTTCTGAACCTCGTCGAGAAGCCCCAACAGCTCGCGTTTCAGGGAAACGGCGATTCCGCGGGTCGGGCCCGGCGTCGCCTCGCTCACCTTCTCGGGGGGAGCTGCCAGCTCCGGCACGTCCTTTTCTTCTAGTTTACACACAAACCTCTGATCGCTTTTCCAGTACATGGCACCGCCAGGGCTGCTTATCTCATACCAGCTCCGAGGGTCAGAGGCTGTCCGCGTCCGCCGATCCCCCCTCCCCCGCCCCCGGGCGCTAATCAAAGCTGACACCCCGAGGAGGGAGAAGCTACCAGCCTGTCCTCCTCCGCAGAGGCCGCCCTGGCCCTACCCGTGCTCGGGTAGACAGACTCCTCTTAAGATTTTTTTTCTCCCCCCCAACTTCGCTGAGGTCTGTCCCTCCAGGAAAAGAAAAGGGGGGGAAAGTTTGTTTTGCAGAGGGTGGAACCTTACATAAAGGGAGGGAAGGGGGTGTGTGTGGGGGAAAGTCTTTTCCTGGAGGAAGAGCCTCACCTCCTGCAGGAAAACCCGCCTTCTCTCCGTGTTAAGATCTTTATCAGGACAAGCCAACCTAGTCCAGAGTTAGCATTAACGGGAAAAAAAATCATTGGGAATGGCCCTGTTAACTTTTGACTTTAAAAAAAAAATCTGCTCTCCGCTTTTGCCGTGGCTTTTTAATTCTCGCTTCCCAACCAAAACCTAAACAAAGATTCAGGTTACATCTCTTGCCGCCGCGCGCCGAAGGGGAAGCGGGTCTGGGAGAGTCATTCTCCTGAAATGCGCACCTCCCGGGCCAGCCCAGGGCCGCAGCCGCCTCCCCGCAGCCTGGGGCTGGCGGTTCTAGCGGGAGGCGCTCCCTTTGCGAAAAGTTTTCTCGTTGAGATAAAGAAGGAACCGTTGAGCAGCACAACAGCTTAAGAGTTGCAACTAGATTTGAAATCGAGGCGATGAGAAAGGCAAAAGTATGTTGCTCATAGTCTTGCGCTTTCATCTCGTCCTAGACAACACTGAAGCCCGCAAAGCGGCCAGATGCAGCCTCAATGTGTGGCTGCGGGTTTGGGGAGAGAGGGGGTGGTCTTCAGAAGACCTTCATTTTGATGGGGATTGGAGGGTGTGTCTGTTTAAATAGCTTCTTTCGAGTGTAAATTTTTACTTTGTTACTTCGTGTATGAAGGGGAATTTGGTAAGAAACTTTTAAAACAATAATTTTTATTCCCCCTTTCCCCCTTTTTAAGAAACAAAACAAACTTCTGAACCATAAGTAATAAAATACTTGGAGTCTGCTTTCTAAAGTCCTTTAACAAAAGTATGTGATGTCGCTTCAATTAGACGGATATATATATTCTTATCTCCTTTCCCGGTCTAACAGTCTGGGACCGAGCAAAGACAGCAAATCTACTTTGTCCTCAATTACATTTTTCTCCCATAAAAACGAGGGTCCCTAGAGCATTTTCCTATCACCATTGTTTTCTTTTTCGCTCAGCTCTTCCTCGTTAATATTAGCGCCCCCCCCCCACCCCCGCGGGTCCTCTCTGGAAAATCTTGCTTAAATTTACTGGGGAGGAGGAGGAGGACGCTATGCTTAATCTGTGCCCTCTTACAGAATTGAAAGCTTGAGGTGGACCGACTTCTCAAAAAGCTAGCCTGCACGTGGAGAACAGAGAGACTTGTGTTTTTCATCAAGTGCAAAACTCAGTATTTTAAAATAGCATAGGTCACGAGGTGACTCTTCGGAATGAAGGGTGTGCAGAACGTGGGCTTTGTCAGGCCGCGTGTGAAGCAGGATGGAAAGTGGAATGAAAAATAAAGACCCAGCTCGGAGGAGACTTGGTTGCCGTTTTTTATTGGTTGGGGTCTGCCACATGAATCTGGGGTGCTGTGTGGCTACTTTCGGGGAGAATGAATCGCGGTCAGTTGGAGATGCGGAGAGCGCGGGAGCTGTTTTGGGAAGTGGGGCGGGGGCGCGGGCGTGTATGCGGTCTTTCCACCCACCCTCGCCTAATCAGGCGGCTCTCAATCAGGTTTTCAAAATACTAATCTCGATCCGAGAGCTCCTATCAGTGCATAAGTGGAGGAAATGATTCATTTTTTAGAGGCTTCTGGGCTTGGGGAAGATGAAGGGTCGTCAGACATAGACAGAAGACCTAAAAGCTGGTCCGGCGGCCGCCTCACTCCCGGCGCCGGGCGGGACGCGGGCCTCTCCGCCGGGTAACTGCGCGCATCCAGCCCTGCCATGCCGCAGGCCTCCGGCCGGTGAGTCTATTTATGCTTCCCAGGGGCTGTGTCAGCCTTCGGTGGGGGTCTGGTGAGGAGTCGGGGAGGAGGGGTGTGCAGGTATTTGCTTTGAATGTCAAGGCTGAGCGTCCCGCGCGGGTTCTGGGCCCAGCGAACTCCAGGCCACTTGCCAGGGGTGAGCACAGAGCGGGGGTTTCTCCTGCTCCGTGGCCCGGTTCTCGGAGCCAGTGTCCTTCCTCTTACCCAGGCTCCTCCTCCCCTGGCTGGGACCAAGGAAAAGTTCCACTGCTGCTTTGCAGAGTCTCTCTTCCCACGTTGGGCACTTGTGCTAAAAGTCAGGACTCTTTTTGTCTTCGCAGTGTGGGTTTACACCCCAAACTCCAACTGAGAACAATGTTGGTCGAACGAGGACAGGCCAAAAAACATCATCTTAAGCGTCTAAAAGGGTGAAAGGAATCGGCCTCTTTGTGGCGACTTTTACATACTAACTGGACATTTCTAGATGTCCACCTCTCCCTTAAGTGAAAATCGGAAATCGCCTGTCACACCGGGGCGGATTACCAACACCTTTGGACCGCAGGGCTCTTTGCAAAGAAAGCCAGACAGGGTTGGGAGTGCCTCCTGTCCCGGACTGCGAGGCTCCCAGGCCAGATGGGAGGCACTGGGTGTGTCTCCCGAAAGCCCGAGGGGGTCGGAAAGGGGTCTAAGTTGCGTAGAGCCCAGGCCTTGATTGGAGGTCCGGGGCTGGAGAGCAGGAACCCCGCCCTGACCCCCACAGCTTCCACTCACCTCCGAGAGCCACCTAATTGGGCTGCGAGCAGCTGCGAAATTTGTAAGCGCCTCCTAAGCCTTCCACCTCGGTAATTCTTATCAAAAGGCATAAAACTGATGTTTTCACACTCGGCTGGCGCCGCGGGAGCCGTTTATAAACACCCTTCATCAGTGGGGTGAAATTAAGCCTGCATTGACAGAGGTCTCCGCAACTCGATATTTAAAAGCAATAGATCCGAATTAGCAAATTATTACTTTACCTAGGGAAAGTCCCCACCAACTTGACTCTTGAACCCCTTGCCTCCGAGCTCCTTGCGGCGAGTAACCACAGGTTTGAGAGAACTAAACCTGGAGTTTCCAAGGTACTCCAGCGGCCTCCGGAATTTCCTTCCTGACCCGCTCCCAGTCCTCCCAGCAGCATCGGAGGACGCGCCTGGAGATCAGACCCGGGCCTGTACGCAAACGTGGTCACGGGAGAGATGTGTCCAGGGTTCCCCGGCCAGCAGGCGAAGGGCCAGTGCCAGCCTTTGGGGTCCTTCACTCTCCCGGGTGGATGACCCTCACTAACGCGCCCCCTTCCCCCGCCCCAGGATGAGCCAGGGGCCAGGCAGAGGACTGTGGGCGGTTGGAGCTGGGGAGACCTCTGCACTGGTAAGAAGGCGCAGCTTCTGGCTGATTCTTGTGGCGCCTTCATTACCCATGAAAGTAAAAAAAATCAAAACCCGAAGCCCAGCGCGCTCTGAAACTGCCGCGGTCACACTTGCTTCAGAGTTGGGAAAGGATATTCTTGGATCTTCGCCCACCCCGTCTAACCATTATTAATATTGACGGGGAAGTGACTGAAGGCGATAGCTTCCAAAGTTTTTTTTGCACAAACTTGCGCAACTCAGCCGCATCACCCCTCGGTGGTCCAGGAGCCGGCCACTCGCTCACCTTGGGGTTTGCCGGTCCCAGGCTCTTTCTCAGCCCGAGTCCCCCAGTTTCCAGGGAAAGGGAAGCGCGCTGTATTCACGCCAGTGGAGGTTGCCCAGACACAGGTGGCGAGGGCTTCCGTCTGGGACCCACTGTCTCGCCTGGGCTGGACGGGCTTCCCAGCGAGGCCCGCGTGCGGGGCAGGGACAGAGGGAGCGCACTGGCTCGCAGACACGCAGACCTGGACTTGGGTATCTGCTCCGACCCGGCCCTCCAGACGTTTGTTTTGGTAACTGCAGTGAGACGCGCCACTGGGGCCAATGGTCTCCAGCGGTTCCAGGGATCCAACAACCGAAAGCCCAGTTGTGCACTGGAGAAGGTGTACAAGCGGACTCCTCGTTTCTTTTCAGCCGGGGCGCTCCCGCTGGTCCTTCCCGCGCCTCCACCCCTCCTCCCCTTTCCGCCCCAGAGATGCAGTAAAGTTTCTGGCCCTTTGAGGAAGGAGAGAGCAAAGGGTTTCTCGCGGACAGGACGGGTGATAGAGAATTAGGAGCCCTGTGGGGGCTCCACAGCCAGAAATTAGGCTGGGGGCAGTCTGGGACGCTCTTGGGCTAAATGCTACTGCGCGAATCGCGGAAGTCCATTGCGCCCTTTACTCGTTGTGACATTTCCAAGCCGACAATCTCGCCTTAAGCACGCGTGCGGTTTGAAGCTGCTGATTTTATAGGCATTTTATCTTTCAGAGTGAGCACACGATGGCACCAGGGGGAACCTGATTGGAACCTTTTCTTACAGATCTTTACCCACACAACTCTGTAAAAACCAAACTACTAGGTGGAGGGGGGAGAGGGGGAACACACCCGAAAAGCTGAAAACAAAACCCCAACAGCTCTTTCACCTCCTTCTCCCCTGCTCGAAGTTTTCTTAGGCGTCCTAGGCGTTAGGGGTGGGTTTAGCCTGGAGCTCACTAATCTAGAAAGAGCGCGTTAGCCCAAACCCCGCAGGCTCCCCCTCCTTCAACCCCGTATTCCACAGGGATCCCGAAGAGTTGACTAAAACCCAGCCAGGGAGGCAAGAAAGCCAAAGTTGATCTGAGCGCAAAGACACGGGCGCCAGACCCTGTTCCGCGGGTGGAGTGGGGAGGGTGGTGTGGCGCGGAGCTGGCTGTGTGGGCCTCCTTTCTGCAGGCGTCACCCAGGTTTGGGGAAGGGGACGTCCAGCTCAGGTTGGCAGCCAGTGTGAATGCGCCCACAGAAGCCCAAGTTGTCCCGCCCACAACCTCAGGGTCCGCGTTCCTCCCCTGCAGTAGAACCAAGTCCAACTGTTGATTATCCGATGTATCTCGTAAAATGATGCTTTTTGCCTGCGGAATCATCTTGAGACATAACTTTGTAAAAGTTAAATAACTTTGGCGCTGAGCGCTGGTGCGGATAGGCCAAGATTGCGGTTGGATCTCAGGTCAGGGCACACAC